CATGTCCAAACCTAGGTAACAAAACCAGCACAGAGATGCCTTCTCAGGGCTTATTGTTCTGCCTAAGGATGCTCCGGTCTCAAGAAGATTTAGAGACTCAAGACTTACTCAATGATGGGAGCAGTTGTAGAATCATGGCCATCCCGGGCATTTTACCCAAGCCTCCATGGCCTCCCAGACCTCTTCTGCCCCTAAAAGTGAGAAAGCATAATCCCTTCCCCTCAGTTCTCTTCTTGGAATTTTGGGTAATCATGCTCACATGCCCATTGCATTTATTGAGCCATCCATCCTGGGACTTGAATGGTGCAGTTGGCCATGTGGAATCAAGCACCTTAACCACCACTATGCCTGCTGGCCAAGACTTATTTATTTTTAAAATTTGTTTCAAAGTGGCCAGCAGGTGGTGTGGTGGTTAATGCACTGGATTCTCACATAGCTAATCACGTTTTGAGTCCCAGACCCAGTGGCTTGTACATCATGCTGGGTATGTGTGTGTGTGCGCATATTCAAATCCAGATAGGAGAATGGAGGAGAAGGGATTGTGGCATAGCCAGCCCCCCGAGGGGTAATCTCTCTCTCTCTCTTGCTCTCTCTCTTCAGCAAGCACTTGCACCTAATAACAAACCCACCCCAAAAAACTTTGTTTCTTTTATTATTTTTTATAAAATTATTCTTTTCATGAGTAAAAGAGACAGAGAGAGGGAGAGAGAGTTCTACACATAGAAAAACAGGCACTCCTAAAAGTATCTCAATACATTATCTACCACCAGCCTCAGCCTGTCCCAGATTATGGGCACATGTATGCCTGGCACACTCATGGAGGTGTTTTAACCTTGTGAATTAACCTTGCAGTGTGTCATGTTTTATCACTCCATTATCATCCAGCCCCACATTTGTTATTTTTTTGTCTTTTAGAAAATGGTTATTCTAAGTGGGGTAAGCAAAACCTCATTGTAGCTTTGACTTATATTTTATTGGTCAATAGTGACAGTGAAAATTTTTCCACATACTTGGCCATTTTATGTCTTCTTTGAAATATTTATTTATGGGACCAACAGATGACATAGTGGTTATATCACTGGACTCCTACATAGCTGACCATGGTTCTAGTTCCAGACCCGGTGGCTTGAAAATCACACTGGGAGGGTGCCTGTGTATGTGTGCCCAAGATCCCTGGAGGAGAATGGAGGAGAAGGTACTGTGGTATGGCCATTCTCCCTAGGGAGTTATTTCTCACTTTCCCTCTCACTGTGTCTGTTTCTCTCTCTCCAGCAAGCACACACTCTCTAAGGCAGACACCTCAAAAAAATTTATTCATGGGAACCAGCAGTTAGCGTAATGGCTATGTCGGTGGACTCCCACGTAGTCGACCGCGGTTCGCGTCCTGGACCCGGTGGCTTAAAACTCACGCCAGGCGCGTGTGCGTGCGTGCCCAAGATCCCGAGAGGAGAATGGAGGAGAGGGGATTGCAGCGTGACCATCCCCCCTGGGGGGTGATTTCTCGCTTTCTGTCTCTATGTCTCTCTTTGTCTGTCTGGCGAGCGCACGCGCCCTACAGTGAAAATCTCTCAAAAAAAAAATTTATTCATGTATTGATTTAATTTTGTAATCAGGGTTTTTTGGGGGGAGATTACTGTTGCATTTATTGAGTTTCTTATATACTCTGAATATTAATCCTTTGGTAGATGAATAGACTGAAAATACTTTTACCCTCTCCTGCAGGATCTCTCCAGCTCATGGCATTAGCTGTGGCCCTCTTCCTCTAGCCTCTCCTTCTCTCTGGCTCCAGATCAGGACACAGGCCTCGTCCACTGCCCCAGAGAAATAGAGCACCCCGAGGTCTACCACCCTTAGGGGAACTGGAATCAACCCTAGATGTGCAGGGCAGCTGCTGTGCCTTGGCTCTGCCCACTCACTCTGTTCTCCTGTGCTCTGGGCACTGCATGTGGGTCCTACCAAGGAGCATGGAAAGTGGGCGCCAAGCAGAGTGGCCCAGCAGCTCCTAATGGCTGCACTCATGGACTCAGGCTCAGATCTACCTTCCACGAGCAGGGTGGTGGCCAAAAAGAGGTGGAGTGGCCCTGATTAGGTTCTGGTGCCTGGTGTGCATCAGCCAGGCACCTCAGGGAGGCACTGAGGAGCTAGTTTCTGGGTGGGGAGCCTGTGCAGTCTTCCTTCAGCACCCCCAACAGCAGCAGCAGCCTGGGAGACTCACTGTATTCAATGCACAACAGCTCTAAGCATGGTGGTGGCAACAGTAGGGGCCACTTAGTCAGAGGGGACCAAGTGGCACATGACTGGTGATCAACTTCTTACCAGTACCCTCTCATTGCACGTATTCAGAGAACTTAAGTATTCTGTATGTACAAAATTTGTGTCCTCAGATGACGTGGATTTGCATCTTGTGCCATGTTGAACAGAGCTGAGAATAACCTATAATAAGGATGTACTGAGTAACCATGCTGGGAGGGTGCAATGTGCCTTGAAGAACTGCAGCAGGGGGATACTATAGCATGACTGCCTTGTCTGTGCATGTACCATAAAGCCAGAAATCTGAGTTTGTGAGGCTTGGTAATGATAAGGGCAAGCAAGTAGGAAAAAAAAAATCCTGTCCAAGAAAGGACCATACAACTCAGTGCACCAAATATGAATATAAAGGCTGGCATGTAGGGGGGTGGTGCTAACAGATGGCTTAGTGGTTATGTTGCTGGACTTCCACAGGGCTTAAAGCATTTGGAATCAAGACCAGTGGCTTGAAACTCTGACCAAGGGGCCAGCAGGTGGCATGATTTTTAAGGCACAGGAATTCCCACATGGCCTGCCACAGTTGCAGTTCGAGTCCCGGACCTGGAGGCTTGCTTTCTCACTCTCCATATCTCTCTCTCTCTTCTCTGTCTTTCTCTGGCAAAACTCAAGTGAAAAAAATAATAAGTAAATAAAATAATTCTTTTAAAAAAAAAGAAAAGAAAAAAAAAGAAACTCTGACCAGGTGTGTGTGCATCCTTGCCCAAGATCTGGAGAAGAGAATGAAGAAGGGATTGTGGTGTGGTCATCCCCCCCTGGAGGGGTGATTTCTCACTTTCTGTTTCACTCTCTCATTCTCTCTCTCCTCCTCAGTAAGCACAGATGCCCTAAGGTGAAAACTTAAAAAAAAAAAAAAAAGATACACGAGGATTCTTAAAGTTCTGCACATCCCTTAATAATCTTCTACACAAATAATACTAATAACCATCCTGTGTTAAGACACCAAAGTTCACTGATTTGAACAATGACTTATTAAGTTCTCTAAAACTACATGACTAATTTTACTTCTATTTGTTTTTCCCCAATGTAATATTTCTACATTAATGAAAATTGAAAACCACATAATTTACTTATTATAAGTTAAAATTTTAAATGTTAAGCCAAGAAATGTAGTTTAGCAGTAAAAAAACTCTCTTAATAGAGATCATGATCTCGAGTTCTTTCATTTTTCCCCCTAGAGTGGAAAATAGATTCTACATAGGAAAGTTATAATATGTTAATATTTTTAAATTAAAAGTTTAATATTATCAGAACTCAGTCCAAAGAGTAAATTAAGTTACAATAATTACAATGTAATTTACTAAATGTAGAATGTACTACTGGATTGCAATTTATTAAATGTATTTCTTCTTAAAACTGCTCAACAGTTAATCAGCAGTGAATCATCTTGCAACTATACAACTCTTTTACTTTTTCTTTTAAAAATTTTTGCATAGGGTGTGTGTAGAGAAGACTGTGAGAGAGAAAAAGTGAGAGATCACTCCTCAGGGGGTATGGTCATGATGCAGTCCCTTCCTCTACATTCTCCTATTGGGATTTTGGGTACACATGCATACATGCCTAGCATCATTTTCAAGAAGCCAGTACTGGTACTTAAACATGGCCAGCCATGTGGAAGTCCACCACCTAAACCACTTTGCCACCTGTTGGTCCCACTACACATTTTTTAGAGTGATTTTTGCTGCAGACTGTGTGGCCTCATCAGAGAGACAGAGACAACAGATAGAGAGGCAGAAAGTGAAGACCCCCCCCACCCCCAGGGAAATGGCCATGCTGCAATCCCTTCTCCTTTATTCTCTTTTCAGGATTTTACACATGCACATGTGCCCAGAGTGAGTTTCAAGATGCCAGGGACTCAATCTATAGTCAAACAGGAAGCAGTCCAGTGTCTTAACTACTATGCCACCTGCTGGCCCCACAACTTTTTAAGAATATAGATTACCAATTTTAAGTCCTGCAAGCTACAATAACTTTGTTTTAGTTGGTATTTTTGTTTGTTCTTTTCATATAATTTTTAAAATTATTTCTTTTCATATAGTTATTTTTGGTTGACATCTCTAGGCAGTTACTCCATATTTACATAAAATGTTTAACAAAGTTATAAACTTAACTTATGAAAAGAGTAAAATAAGATTTTCTGGAGTGGAAAAAAAAAGACGAAAGACATTAGATCAACACTATTTAACACATGAAGAAATCCAAAAAGAAGAGCAAAGTAAACTAAAAGCTAGCAGAAACAAAGATATCAAAAGGAGAATGGATATAAATAAGAGATATAAAAACCATGCAGAGAATCAATGAAACCACTAGTTAGTTTTTTCAAACAATATCAAGAAACTGACTAAACTTTAGATAGACCTTCCTAGGAAAGAGAGAAAATACAAATCAATAAATAGATATGTATTATTCCTGACTATACAGAAGTAAAAAGCTTTATAGAACACAATAAATAGTAAGTAATAAAAATTTAGAAATTAATCAATACACGCAATGTAAGAAATAGGCATTAATCTACCACTCATAGTTGAAGGTTTAATAACTTTCAAAGATTAGATGTATACAATAATTGTTTTCAAAATGAATTTAAGAAATCAGTCATTTTCAGTTACTTTATAATATGAGAATATGAAATCAGTATATTTTTGGTTCAAAACACTAAAATGGTGACATAGGCTTATGAGATAAAATGTTAGGTTTTATTTAGAACCTCTTCTGTTTTTTAAAGCTTTCCAGGAGTTCTCATAAGGCCTTATCAGAATAATGTAGCACTTGGGGACAAAGATGCAGCCTAGGAGCCCTGCACTGGAGGCCAAGATGGAGAAGACCTCGACGGCCACCATAAATTTCCCCTTGGTGCTGTGATAGACGGGGACAAATGTGACCCAGACACTGCAGAACACCAGCATGCTGAATGTAAGGAACTTGGCTTCATTGAATGTGTCAGGCAGGTTCCTGGCCAGGAAAGCCACAGTGAAGCTCCCCAGAGCCAAGAAGCCCAGGTAGCCAAGGACACAGTAGAAGGCAGTGACTGAGCCCTTGTTGCACACGATGAGGAGGTTTCTGGGCTCAGAGTGTGAGTCTATATCAACAAAAGGGGGAGCGGTTCTCAACCAGATTCCACAGATAATCATTTGGATCAGGGAGCAAATGAGAATGACAGAGTTGGAAGCCCCTGAGAGCAGCAAGCGCTTCATTGTTCTTCCAGGCTTCATGACCTTGAATGCCAGAATCACAGTAATGGTTTTGGCCAAAACAGTGGAAACAGCCACAGTGAACACAAGGCCAAATGTGACTTGTTGGAGGACGCAGGTGACAGTGTTAGGATGGCCAATGAAGAGCAAGGAGCAGAGGAAGCACAGCAGGAGGGTGATGAGCAGAATAAAGCTGAGATCCTGGTTGTTGGCTTTGACAATGGGTGTGTCTCGGTGCTTCACAAAGACTCCCAAAACTACAGCTGTGAGGACAAAGAAGCACAGAGCCATGCAGCCCATCGCTGTCCCCAAAGCATCCTCAAAAGCCAGGAACATCACAGCCTTGGGGAGGCAGTGAGTTCTCTCACTGTTTGGATACTCTTGAGCTGGGCACTGGATACACTGCTTTGCATCTGGTGAAAAAACAAAGATTCAGCAATTCAGTTCCACAAATTGTTTGTCATGTTAAAGGAAATGTTCACTTTTGTGTAATTATGTGCAGATAAAGCTCCTGAGGTAATACCAAGATATACCAAATTAAGAGCCTGTGTTGATGACACTGGGAGAATTCTTTCAGGTGCAGATAACAACAAAGTTATTTGAAACCGGGTCTCAGCATATGAGGATCTTGGTTGGCCCATTTTGTGGCTCTCAATGATGTTACCAAAGATAAGGATTTATTCTAGATTTCTTCTCTATACTTACCTGAGTTTTTCATAATGATAAACCTTCTATTTCCATGGCTTATCATATTTGTTTAGCACAATAGAAATGAATAGGTTTCTTATTTATATTCAGAGAAAAATAACTTTACCTTGTTCTTCTGGAATATCTTTTATCTCTATCCTAATTTCTATTTTTTTCATGTATATACACATCACTTTGTGTACCAACTTTTTTCATTATACATTTTTATTTTTCTGTCAATATAATCATTAATACTCCCATGTAATTGTTGAAAACAGTTTTAATTTAGAACTTTTGAATATTGAATAAAATTGGATTGCTCCTATATAGTTATTTTTCAAAAACTGGTATTTTAATTATATGATAGAAAGATGGAGTATTTTTTTGAAGTATGCATTTATATACATTTGAAAGCATGATTTGTTAATCATTTTTTGTAAGGGGTTGGTAATATTTTTGCCTTTACACATTTTAAGGTCTCTGTTGTAACTATTCACCTCTATTGCTATGTAGAAGGAAAGCAATCACTGAGCTTACAAAAATTAGCAGGCATGTCCATGTTTCAATTAAGTTGGTTTTTTTTTTTTTTCCAGAAATAGGTGGTTTGCCTACTCCTTTCTCAAGTTCTTATTTATTTATTTATTTTTGGTAATACTGAGAAAATAGTACTGCATTGTTGGAAAATCATGCCATATTTTTGCATAGTAAAATATGTTATGACTTTTTCAACAATCCCATATATTCTCAAAGATTTAGAGTGGGACCCAGCTGTTGGCATGGTGGTTAAGGTATTGTACTCCCACATTACTGATTGCCATTTGAGTGTCAGACCTGGAGGCTTCCTTTCTAACTTTCTCTTTCTCTCTCTCTCTCTAGTGAGCATGCATGCTTTGTAGCATATTTTTAAAATAATAATAATTAAAATTAAATTAATGATTCTTTTAAAAGAATCAGAGTGATAATCAATAACATTTTTTTCTTGCACTACCTATTACTATTTGTAGAATCAGCATATACTCCTGTCTTCTGTCTCAAAGAGAGATTTGACACCCACAAACATGTGTTTCTCTTCTTCTGTGTCCCAAACCCTTGGTTCCCCTATTGTTTCTCCTCTTCCTTTTTATTTTTTAAAGAATTATTTATTTATTAATGTTTTTAAAATTTGCACTAGGGCTTGTGTGCTCAGCAGAGAGAGATGGAGAGAGAGAGAGGGAAAGTGAGAAAGAAGCTGCAAGGTCTGGGACCTGAACCTCAGTAAGCCATGTAGGAGTTCAGTCCTTTAATAATTATGCCATCTGCTGGCCTCCATTTTTTCTTTTTAAAAGAAAAACTTGCCAGAGGGCACATACACTCACTGCAGAGAGACACACACAGAGAAAAGAAAGTGAGAAAGCACTACCTCCATGAAATTGAAATGCCAAAATCCCCTCTGCACCACCTTTATTTCTTATCAGGATTTCAGACAGTATACACATATCTGGTGTGTTTCGAAGTCATCAGGTTTGGGACTCAAGTCACAATATGGGGCATGTAGGATTTAGCTACCTTAACCACCACACCACGGGCTGTCCCCATACCTGTATTTTTATTTCTTGTTTTGCACCTTTACTTGGTGTTGCAAAATTTTTTCTAAAAAATTATTTTTTCTTGACATAGTCTTTATTTTTTAAAATTATTTATTAATTTAACTTTATTATTTATTTATTAATTTACTACTATTATCTTCTAAACATTCAATTGCTATATATCATTTAGATTGCAAGGAGACTTTACCCAGCATGATATACACCTCAGTCCAGCCCATCTGAGAATACTATATATGTCATCAACAGCTAATAAACCATATCTGTCCTGAAAATGTCTTACCTTTCTATTTTTCCCCAAATTTTCTTTCCTACACTCTTCCCCTCTCCTACTCTCCTTCCACCTTGTCCCTACTGTCCATAACAATTTTGAATGCTTTTATGTCTTCCAATCTTTCAGTTTCTATCATAGAGTGTGGACAGTCAGTATATGCTAAGTATAGACATAGAATGTCCCAGTTTTATAGCCAGACTTGCTTCACTCAGCAATAAATCTTTGTCCTCTTTCTATCAAATTCCAGCATCTTCTTTTTTAATGACTGAATAGCATTCCTTGTAGTATATGTGCTACATTTTTCAATCCATTCATCTGTTTGTGACATTTGGGTTGGTTCCACTTCTTTGCAATTGTTAATAATGCTGCAATAAATATAAATGTGCAAGCACTTTTCCTACTGAGCGTTCTCCTGTTCTTTGGGTAGGTACACAGGAGTGGAATTGCTGGATTATATGGTAGTTCTATTTGAAGATCTTTGAGGAACCTCCATATTGTTCTCCACAGTGGCTGGACCAATTTACATTCCCACCAACAATGTAGGAGAGTTCCCCTTTCACTACATCCCCTCCAGCACTTACCTTTTTTTTTTTTCAATCTTCACCATTTTTACTGGAGTTAGGTGGTATCTCATTGTGGTTTTGATCTGCATCTCCTTTACAATGAGGGATATGATAAGGGATGTTGAGCACTTTTTTGTATGCTTTTTGGCTGTTCATATATCTTCTTTAGAAAGTTGTTTATTCAGCTTATTTTCCCATCTTTTAATTAGATTAATAATTTTCTTCTGGGTAAACTGCTTGAGTTCCCTGTGTATTCTGGTTATCGGTACCTTGTCTGAGGCATATTTTACAAAAATATTCTCCCATTCCAAGACTTGTCGATTCACGATAATTACTGTGTCTTTTGCTGTGCAGAAACTCCTTAATCTGATGTAATCCCACTTGTCTATTTTGGGGATTATTGCCTATGCTTCAGGGGTTTTGATTAAGAAGTCTTTGCCTATCACAATGTCTCTCAGAGTTTTCTCTTTGTTTTCCATCAGTAATTTTATAGTTTGAGATCTTAAGTTTAGATCTTTGGATTCACGATAATTACTGTGTCTTTTGCTGTGCAGAAACTCCTTAATCTGATGTAATCCCACTTGTCTATTTTGGGGATTATTGCCTATGCTTCAGGGGTTTTGATTAAGAAGTCTTTGCCTATCACAATGTCTCTCAGAGTTTTCTCTTTGTTTTCCATCAGTAATTTTATAGTTTGAGATCTTAAGTTTAGATCTTTGGTCCACTTTGTGTTGATTTTTGTTAATAGTGACAGATAGGGGTTCAGATTCACCTTTCTGCATGCAGATACCCAGTTTTCCCAACATCATTTTCTAAAGATGTTTTCCTTTTCCCACTGGATTTCCTTTTGGAAAGATCAGTTGGGTGTATGGTTTGGAGTTTACTTCTGGGGTCCTACTCTGTTCCATTGGTCCTCATGTCTGTTTTTGTTCCAATGTCATGCTGTTTCGACTATCACAGCTTTATAATATATTTTGGGCTCAGGAAGTGAAATCCCACCCACTCCACTCGTTTTGTGTAGGCTTGCTTTGGCAATAGAGGGTCTTTTATGGTTCCAGGCAAATTCTGATTCCTTTTTCTAGATCTGTAAAGAATGTCTTTTGTAATTTTGTAGGGATTTTATTAAATATTATAGATTAATTTGGGTAGATTGCTATTGGCATATTCTTACCTGAAGATACATATTTACTTTTACTAGGGATGGAAATCAAATGAGTTCTACTGTTAGAATGAATGGAATTGAGTAATACTTATGGAGAGTTCAAACCATAATATTTATTCCTTACATATTGAAAAAAATGAAATTATGATTTATGTTACTTTCCATATTTCATATTTGACAATTTCACATTTTATTTTGATAATTGCTTGATTGTACATTTTGTATGACAGAGAATTTTGAGGTACCCAATTGTGAAATGTATTAGAATGTTTCATTTTTGGTGTTTTTTTTCTTTTGGTTACAAAACATTTCATCATAACTGTTAAGGGGAAAATTACAACATTAAAGTAATTTAACAAAGTAGAAGTAAAATACCAGAAACTTGCAACTAAAATTAGAGATTTAATGTTATAAGAAAGCAGTAAATTTTATGGCAATCAGTAGATAGTTGATTAAGAAATACATATTTAAGTATATTATTTAAAGTATGAAGCCATTAATTAAATAGACCATGTATTTTTCCATGCCTTTTTTTCACATTTTATTGGTTCACTAAAGATCTTAATAATTTAAAGACATTCAATGTCAAGCACAGCTGATATATACATATTTAAGAACAGATATCTGACTTTAAAGGTAAACCTCAGGAAGTGAACAGACTGTAAAGTAGCACCTCGCTGGGGCTATATAGCTTACTGCAGTCATTAAATAGGTATAATAGGCATTTTTAAATGCATTTTTAAATTTCAAATAAAGTTTTCATTCTAATAGATCAAAATCAAAAAATGTTAAGAGAAATTTGCTTAAAACTTAAAGACAGGCAAAGGGTGAGAGTTCAGTTCAAATAGTAGGTAGATGAACCTATCAGCAGTTCAAGAGAAGAAAAAAATCCTTAAATACAGAAATCAAAGCATGAAAGAAAACAAGTAATGTTTTAGTCTAAACTCAAACATTTTTATTTCACTTGTTCAGACTCACATAATTAATCTCTCTTCTAACAAATTTGCAGTGTTACTGTGGTCTGATCTTTCCATTTAAACTCTGGAAGTTAACATTCAACTCCGGACTTGTCCCTACCATTAGGCTGGCCATTCTCTTGGTTGCTTCTTGTACTCTTATTTCTGTGTGTCTGACTTTAGTTTTCCTGGTATAGCACTCACTTCAGCACTTTTTGGAGAGCTGGTATGATGCTGATAAATTCTTTCAGGTTTTGTTTATCTGAAAATGCTTTAGTCTATTTTTCCCATATGAAAGATAATCTTGCTGGGTATAGTATTCTTGGTTGAAATTGTTTTTCACTTAACATTTCAAATATATTTTCCCGTTCTTTCCTTGCTTGCATCGCTTTCAATGAAAGGTCCAATGTTAGCCTTATGGGATATCCTTTGAAAGAAATTTTGAAAGTAATTTGACGTTTCTCTCTTGCCAATTTTAGTATCTTGTCTCTGTCTGTGGTTTTGGCCAATCTGGCTATGATGTACCTTAAAGACAATCTTCTTGGGTTGATTTTTTTTGGTGTGTTCCTTTGTATTTCTTAGGTCTGGGTATCTGAGTGGCTCCATAGGTTTGAAAATTTTTCTTCCAGTATTTCATGGTCTAGATTATGTTTGCCCTTATTAGTTTCTTCACCTTCTGGGGTACGGACAATCCAGATGTTTGGGTGTTTAATGATATCTAGTATTACTCATATGTTATTATAAGTTGTTTTGATTTTCTCAGTCTTTTTGGTGAATCTTTTTAGGTCAGAGGCCCTATTTTATACATCTGAGATTCAATCTTCTGCATGGTCTAATCTACTTTCAATATTTTCAACAGAAGTTTTTATTTCCTGTATTACACCAATCATCTCTAACAATTCAGTTTGATTATTTTATGATATATATCTCCTCTTTTAGATAGTGCAAGAACTTCCTCATCTCCTGGAACTTGGTGTCTCTTTTCTCTTGCATCTTCTGGAGTTCATTGTCTCTATTCTCTTGCATCTCTGTTAGCTTTGCCAAAATGAAGATTTTAAATTCTTTATCTGACATTTTCATGAGTTTTCTTGTATTCTTTGTGGAGGAAGAGGAGCTATTCTTTTCCATTAGAGGAGAGATATGTTCATTTCTCATATCTCTTTGTGCCTCTGTGGTGGTTTCTGGTCATCTGATGAATTATACTATTTTTTCTATTTTTGGAGTTAAATCTGAGCAATAGAGGAATGCAGAAGAAGGTGATCTGCAGTTTGTAAACTACCATTTTTCTCCCTTTGGACAACTGTTTCAATGAAAATCAAGGACTAATCTGACGCTAAAAGTATTCAGATATTTGGCTTCTATGCACCTAGACCTGTCTAGAAAATCAGTGTATGGAATCTGAGCAGAAATGTGAGAAAGATAAAAAGAAAAGGGAAAGGAGTAAAAAAAAAAAAAAAAAAAAAAAAGAAAAAAACGGGGGGGGGGGCAGTAAGAAAAAAAAGAAAAAAAATTAGTCAAAAAATAAAAACCAGGTGGCATGCTGTGGGAAAGAGGTCACTTTTAACTGAACTGTAGATGGCTGCTGATTGGTTTATCCTATGGGGGCAGGGAGAAAGGTAAGAATGAGAAAGACAAAAGAGCAGCAGAGAGCTAAGTTTAAAAATTAAAACAAAAAAATTAAAATATAGAGAGAGATGGAAAGAGACAGAGAAAATAAGTAGGGTATTCTAACCTGGCTCCAGGCCAGACTGGGAGCAGGAGGGTAAAGTCTGGGCAGTGGGCATTCAGTGACTGAAATTCTAGAATGTCGAGCCTTTAAACTATGGGGTTTTTTTTTTTCTTACTGCAATATATTTCAAAGTGTAGTGTTCTGATACTAGTCAGTTCTTTGTACTTAATTGCACAGGTGTTTTAGCATAATTGAAAAAGTTATAAAATTTTTTATAATAATTTTTAATCTGTAATTACTTTGTGTTTACAATCTGGGTTTAAACATCAGACTCAATGTTTGAGGCACCCACCAGTAGCATTGATGATTACACATCTTTCATTTCATGACTAGCCTGGTCTAATATGAGACCTAAGACTACACTGTCTTACCCAGCCCAAAACTGCAAGGTTATCCATTGAAAAGAGTTCCACAATTGAGCCTAATAGAAATAGCATGAACAGAAAACAGCTTACACATAATAGGATAGTAATAGTATTTATAAAATAAATACATCAAAACAATGAATATATTAATTAAGAACAGTGGTGCTCTATGTTTCATTACATTTTTTGAGAGAGAGATTATTCCTATAGGGGTCATGCACTCACTAGAGATACAGAAAGTGATAAATCACCCCCCAAGAAGGATAGCCATGCCAGTCCCTTCTTCATTCTCCTCCTGGAATTTTGGGCACATATTCACATGTGCCTGGTGTGAATTTTAAACCTCTGGGTTTGGGACTTGAATCATGTTCATCCATATGAGACAGTGCCTTAACCACCACACTTATGCTTTGTTTATAATAGTAGTAATTTATTTTTATTAAGTAATAATATAGGCTAATGGTGTAGTTATATATTTCATACTTGATTGATTTGAAATGTCTGACTCCGGGCAAGAAACACAAGTAAAGCAGCAAACAGGTCTTCCTTCTTGGGGAATTTTCTGGAATCCAGGAACACAGCTGTGGCTACACACAGATTTAGGAGTCTAAGAAGAAAAGAGAATCAGTCATAATCATGTGTGTTATGAACTGTTTTGGCAGGATGACTCTGTCTTTCCACCTCAGAGGAAACTTTGACCTTTAATAGTTCATCATTGTGGATGGCCACACTGCAATCCCTTCTCCTCCATTCTCCTCTCAGGATCTTGGGCACGCATGAACACGTGCCTGGCATGAGTTTAAGCCACCGGGTCCAAGACTCGAACCACGGTCAGGTACATGGCAGTTCAGTTACATAGCCATTACACTAACTGCTGGTCCCCAGAGTAATATTTTTGATACAGGGTGCATGTGCTTGCCAGAGATACAGAGAGAGAAAGAGAAAAATCATACCCTGGTGGGGGGAATTGCCACACTACAATTCCTTCTCCATTCTCCTCTCAGGATTTTGGGCACACATGGGCATGTGCCTGGCAAGAGTTTCAAGTCCAGGTCCAGGATTTGAAGTGCAGTCAACCATGTAGGAGTCCAGAGCCTTAACCACTATGCTACCCGATGGCCCTGTTACCTAGACTTCCAATTCAGAACTATTATACTTAGATTTATTCTTTATGTATTATTATTTTTTAATTTTTAAAATGAATTATTTATTTTATTAATTGTTATTATTTTTTAATTTGACCACAGAGAGACAGAGAGAGAGAGAGAGAAAGGGAAAGTGAGAAATCAAGTTCTGGGACTCAAATTGCAGTTAATCATGTGGGAGTCCACTGTTTTAACCACCATGCCATCAGCCAACCCCCTTCATGTATTATTTACCAAATATTCACAAGGTATCTAATTATTTTATCCCATACATGACTAAAAATATCCCTGTGTCATTCTCTTTTCTTATGCAATCACTTCATCCAAAACTATATCAATGCAGGTGTTTACATGGTAAAGATTCCAGAAAGTTGTGTTCCCAAGAATATTTATATTATGTCCTCATACGTGGTAGAAAATTTTAGGTTCTGGGATCAGCAGATGGTATAATGGTTACATTGCTGGACTCCCACATAGTCACCTGTAGTTCAAGTCCTGGACCTGGTGGCTTTAAACTCATGCCAGACGCATGTGTGTGTGTGTGTGTGTGTGTGTGTGTGTGTGTATGTGTGTGCCCAAAATCCTGAGAGAAGAATGGAGAAGGGACTATGGCATGGCCATTTCCTCTGGAGTGTGATTTCTCACTTTCTGTCTCTGTCTCTCTGGCAAGTGCACATGCTATAATAAAAATCTCAAAAATAAAAAGATCAAAGAAAATTTTAAGTTCTGTATTTTAAAATATTTAATAATTTAGTATGCAAAAACACAATAAAAGTTAACTTAAAACTCATAGGCCAACAAATACATGACAAGAGTGTGGTTAATCCACTTCTGGGCTTCTGAGACAAGTTGAACACTGTTTTTCATATATTAACACAATATACAAATCATGGTAGCTATATAAATCATCTGTCTCACGTAATTGACTGAGATTATACTCAGTGTTTTAAGATGTTTAGTACAATGAAAAATAGTAAGCAAGGGACTAGCAGGTATTGTGATGGTAAAGGTGGTGAGCTCACACATAGCTGACCATGGTTCGAGTCCTGGACCTGGTAGCTTACTTTAATATTCTCCCTTTCTCTTTCTGGTCAAATTGAATAATAATAAATAATAATTTTAATAAATAATTCTTTTAAAAGGGTATGCAAAATGACAAGTGAAAATGTGAATGGTATCTACAAAAACATGAATGGTACCTTAGTTTATAATCTACTTGTACTTACAGTATAAGGAGGACTTTGTTCATAAATGATAATAGATATAAAAGAGTCATGTGCTCTGTAAAAATAAAAGACATTTTAATCAATGATAAGCTGCATATATGATAGTGGTCCCAATAAGATAATAGGTTAGGTCATATAAATTCCATGTGCAGTGTGCAATATCATCTAGGTTTGTATAAAGGCAATCTATGATATTTACACAATGACAAAGCTTTCTAAAACTGCATTTCTTGGGGACCAGCAGATGGCAATGGTTACATCACTAGACTCCCACATGACTGACCCTGTCTGAGTCCCAGACCTGGCTGCTTGAAACTCACACCTGGTGTGTTCATGCATGTCCAATATCCCAAGAGGATAATGGAGGAGAAGGGATTGTGGCATTGCCATCTTTCTTAGGAGGTGATTTCTCACTTTCTGTCTCTCTTTCTCTCTCTCTGGCAAGTGCACACGCCCTATAGCAAATGCATTTCTCAAAAAATATTCCTCTCATTAAACAATGTTCAACTACATATACATATCCATCACCCCAATGATTTTATTAATTGGACTGTTGCTTGAACAAACATAAGAAAACAAATCAGCTTATTAAAATCTGATTGTTTTCTATAGTTTAGAATATAAGCAAAATCACATACTACAAAGTCAGGATATAAAAGGCAATGTTTTTAAAAATTGTATTGTTACTGACACAAGAGTTTAATTCATTTTCTTTTAGATTTTTGCATAGGTCATATGTTCACTGGAGAGAGACACAAACAAAGACAGAGAGATATTAAGTGAGAAATTAATCTTCATGGGGGTGGCCACACCATAATTCCTTCTCCTCCATTCTACTCCCACATACCAGGCATGATTTTCAAACCAGTAGATCCAAACTCAAACCATGGTCAACCATGTGGAATCCAAGGTCAACCCTGTGGAATCCAACATCTTCCCTACCATGCAACTTAGGTCCACACAAAAAGCAAATTTAATACTGAGTTAAAGTAGTCACATAATTTCATTTCAGGACTCTGTTCAGATACCTGTGTGTTTTATCTTAGTGAATGTGTGCTCACCAGAAAAAGTGAGAGACAGATAGTGAGGGGAAAAGTGAGAAGTTACTCCCCTGGGGAGACAGCCATGCAGCAATCCTTCTACTCCATTTGCCTCTCTGGATCTTGGACAGGCATTCACACAGATCCAGCATGAATTTCAAGTCACGGGGTCCAGGACTCAAACCACAATTAGCTATGTGGAATTCTAATGACATAACTGCTACACCATTTGCAGGCCCCACCTCTGTATATATTTCATATTGAAATGAGATCATACCTCTTTGAAACTAACAGGCCAGTTTATCATCTCTTCATTGATGACCAATCCTTGATCATGAGTGTTCCTGTAGATGAAATCTCCCACTTTAACAAACAGCCAACTGTGATTAGGAAACCTCACAAAGTTGTTGATATCATACTGTATCGTATTTCTTTCTTCACGTGCGGGCATGTTGTATCCGATGCTGTTTGTCATTTGGCTTTTCCTCAGAAATGGATGAAGCTGTATTAATAACAGGGTTTACAAATTAGAACTGCATTTAGTGTACAGGTGGACAGTCCATATCTATAAAGTAATCCTTATAGCTTAACACCCCTACTCTTTTTTTTTAAGAGGTTTTTGCTATAGGGCTTGCGCTTACCAGACAGACAGAGAGAGACAGAGAGACAGAAAGCGAGAAATCACCCCTCAGGGGGGTGGCCACGGCA